CAGGAGGACACAAACTAGCATACTCCCGTCACCCTAAGCTCAGTATACCGCGAGCTACAGCTGGTATACACCCAGCTGCATGAGTGACAGCTTGCTCTGCCTATCTAGAGGCAGAGCCAGCTGGTACCCTCCCCCGTCCATTCCGCTAGTCAGCGCTGGAGGATCGGAGCAGGGATGGGGGAATCCAGCCCCTCCCCTGTCACGGCAGAGAGCCGTGACAGGATCGAGAGGTGAGCGAATGTCGGTATGTGTTCGCTCACCTCCCGATCTACTGAGCCGACCTGTGACAGTCTCATTGTCACAGGTCGGCTAGATCTATGAGGCGAGTGAAAAGCACTCACCTCATAGTTCTCCTTTTTACAGGTAACTGTACTAAAAATACAGTTATCATTTTCTGTAATAAACCCCTTTATTTTTTTGTGAATAAATGAATACTTTTTGTTCCTTGGAAAGTATATGTTAAAATCTACTGATAACAGCTCTTTTTAGGTTGCTTTAATATGGTGAGACAATCTGTTTAGGAAATGCTCGGACACTTCTGGTAGTGTCAGTTTGCCTAATTTTTCCCGCCTATTATTGATAGGCTGCTTCACTGGCCAGTAGCACTGCATAAGAGAGAATGGGGCAGGCAAGCTTCAACACTACCCCAGGAAGTATTGCAGCTAAGCACTATTAGAATGGTCCGGGATTCGGTTGGCTGCGTGTAGGTACTTTTGTAATTCTTTACATTTTTATTTGTATAGTTAGGCGGTAGCTGTCCTAAATACCTCCTATACTGCTTAGGCTACACACTGCAATGTTTAAAGTTGTCCTTATAGATGTCTATGGGGAGTGCAGGGAATGAAAAAATGGTTGGCAGCATAGTGCGGTACGTTTTTAAAAGACTATCTCGTTAAAGACAGCAGCCCTTTATGCTTCCCGCCCTGAACAAGAATGAATCTTCCTGGCAAATTGCTTTGCCCTTTGTATAACAGAACAGGGTTAACTTAGAGTATTCCCACAGGACTGTAACACTGCAACTGCTGTAATAGGGTTACTTATGTCATTGTCCCTACAAGTTGCTCATTAGAATAAATGACCATTTTACTGCTTTTAGATGTTAAACATCCATCACAAGTTTTATTCTGCATTCCTCAACTAAATTTGAGTTGTAGGGCTGCACCAAATTTCTGTTGTCCACACGGTTATCGAATGCATTGTGTTTTGGTAACCTTTATCGAAGCTCTAGATATGCGTGTAGATTAGGTCCTTTAAATAAAATAGCTGAGTCACCAATTATGCATGTATGGAATGTCCACTTCCTTAGGACCTGTGTTTTGCATGTTGCTTTCTTATCTGCATGGATGTGGATGAGTAACTCACCTGCTTGCTTCCTTTTGTATTTCAGCATGCTGTATTTCAAAGGTGGTTTGTTTCCATCTAGATTTCATCCTTCTTTATTTTGCCTTCCAAAGTTTCAGCGTCTTCATATATATACATAACTGGTTGCAGTATGTTACCGTTCCCTGCTCCGCATGCCTTTGTCTACCTAACTACTCCTTTTTTCTTTTCTCTCTCTCTCCTTTTTTTCTTCCTTTACATATAGGCCTGACCAAAGATGGCAGTAGTGTGAATATTGATTCTTTAGAGGAAGTCCTTAATATTTTAGCGGAGGAAAGCTCTGATTGGTTTTACGGCTTCCTCTCTTTTCTCTATGATGTAATAACTCCTTTTGAAATGGTAGAAGAAGAGGAGGGTGATTCTGCAGACGATGTTGATGGTACTTCACAGAACGAAGGGGTTCAGGGAAAAAAGACCTGTGTCATTGTGGATTTGCAGAACCAATAATATCTGTTCGGAGACCGGCTTTAAACTTTCTGTGGGTTTTATTTTTCCCTTTTAAGTAAAGCCACAGGCTGTGGGATCTCCTTGTTCAGTGGACAGTCTGGAGTGATGGAGCCATATGCTGTTCATATAGCTGAAACTGATATTTGGCAGATAGATCAAGTATGCAATGGAATGACTGTGCAAGTTGGCCTAAAGCTACATTAAGAATTCTGCAATTCAGGCCTTCTGTGTTTTTCAATAATTATTCTTTACACTTTTGTTTTTTGGAGAGGCAAATCCAATGTGGTACCCATTTCCTATCGTTATTCTGGAACGTTTAGGTTTGTAGTTCAGAGCTCTCTGACAGTGCTGTACCATCTGTCCAAACATATCGGCAGACAAATGAATGCAGAAGTCTATATAGGCATTTCAGTAACTTGTATAGGAAATCTAAAAAAAAAAATTTAGTTGTTCAGCTATTATTTTTTTCTGTCTGTTGGTTTGTCAGCTTCTGTGATTTATCTAACCCCCGGGGTAGTGGCTGATTTATGTAATGTGCAAGTTGTATTTTTCCATCTGGTGCTTAGATGTACTCATGGACCCTGCTCAGTGTCCTTTTTTTTTTTTTCTGTTTTTTGTGTATCACCCCATCATTTTTAACTGTGAGCAACAACATCAGTTGTCTAAAATATCAACACACTGTACACAAGTGGACAAAATGCATACATTGTCAAATGTCTGCATCTATTAGCTATCTAATAGATAAGTCTATTGGACTGCTCATAAGTAGCTATAGACAAAGCCGGGTGCTAGCTATTGTAGTCATTCTCTAGGCTGGATTTGATGACTAGGAAGTGAAGAAGCAAATCATGATAGGTAAAAGTTTGTTATGAGACCTTTTGATTTATGCTCTGGCACAATGCTGCATTTTAAAGCACATGTAAAGAGCAACTTGAGCTCTGCAACCTTGTTAACCTATAAGCCCCACTGCTAAGGTACAGCTAGGCCTGGAACCTGGTTTGGTTGCACACAGTTGTATGTTTGGCATTAATATGTCACTTGCTTTAAGCATTCCAATTTCATAAGTTTTCTCCTTATAATGCTGCATTGGCAAAGGATGTACAAGAGATCTAGTATTGGGTTTTTCTCTTGCCAACCCTTATGAGTCATTGACCAAATACATTGTTGATGCCTATAACTTCCTGACTGCCGTCAGAAAAGAAAGTGGTGCTTTCTTCTTCCGAACAGTGACTATTTATGGAACACAGTCCTAATTTTGCACTCGCTTGGCTGTAGCAAACGTATGGCATGGATCTCCAGTCATAACTTGCTTGGCTATAAAATTGGGTATGTTTTAACAATGGGTTGGTAAATGTTGTGATTTCTCTAAACTGTATTTAATAAAGAGTATTATTTATAAGTTTTGTTTAATTATTGAGTAATTAAAACATAACAATTGACATATTTGTTTTTCATTTAAATAAAACAAACATTCTCAGTATGCTGTGAGTAGATTTGTTTTAATGTCTTGCTGTATGGCGCATACACATTGGCTATGTCTTGTCAACGTCTTCAAGAAAAATACAGCGAGTCCAGTTGCCTTGACTTATTTTTTTACAGATATATCTTGTCAAGCAGGTATATTGTAAGGATAGTAGAGAAGGCATCTTTTCAGCTCACTGCTTATGTTATTGTGTTATTGTGCATGTGCATCCACTATAAAGGCTTAATGGGAAACCGTGCTTTGCCCATGATTGGAAAAGCCATAGGTTTACGTTAATAGTGCCCCCCGCAACTGCTACTACGTACCTTCTTTCTCTGTATCGCTGCTCTGTTTTCCTGGAACTGAAGAACCTGGAAATTCTGGCTATAGGAAAGCATGTGACTTTGACCTCTTCCTCAGGGACCCAGCACTGCCACATGACTTGCAGCTAAACAGAGCACCCTGTGATCTACAGTTAAGCTATACTGCCTGGTCTAAGACCTGACCCTGCCTGGAATCATACAATAAAGGAGCAGCAGCACATTCATGAGATCATCACATTGCTCTTTTCTCCTGTCAAGAACCAATCCCTGTTAGATGGACAACAATTTTTTTTTAGCCAAGTCTTTTGCTGCAGCTTAACTGCTTTGCTTTGACAAAAAATCGGTGATAAAATGCTGCTGGGAAAAACTTGAAAGGTAGCTAAGAGCTATACATACCGGTAGCTATTTAATCCATTGTTATGGTATGTTGTAGTACTGTACACAGTTGTTCAGTTGATGATAATCCAAATACTTTTGGGTTTCCCAGTGCTAAAATAGTAATTATATTGTAAAGAAAGAGACGTTTGTGCATATGCTATCCTATACACAGGTGCAGCTCTGCTTGCAGGTAATCCATCCAGTTATGCCATCTGCTGATAGATTGCAGGTGACATAATGATTGGGTAATTTGTGGTTGAGGCTTGTTCTCCGTAGTTCTGTTTTTCGTAGTTCTCAGTTTTATTATAAGCTAGCAAATGAAATAAATGTCTTAATTTTTATATAAAATGGTTGATGAGCGGAATTATGTTTTATAATTTTATTTGAGAATTTCTTAAACAATTGTTATTAATACCAGCTACAAAAATGCTTGACAGAGAAGAATAATATTTTTGTTTTTTTTTAGCTTTAATGGATTTCCTGCTTTACATTTACCCTCTTAACTGCTAATGGCGTCCATTCATCCATTCATGATATGTTAAATGAGTTCTTCCTCCTTTGCTAGGCTTATCTGCATACTTATGAGTAGGTAATGTTAATTCCTAAGGTTATAGATCATGGCCAGCAAAGACAATGGTAGCATTTATTGCATGTACCATGTGAGCTCTTCCAGACCAATAATCAACCAGTATGCTAAAAATCTCACTTGCTGTCTTGTACATGGGTGCCTTCAGAGTATCTATGGACAGGCCGCTAAGGCTATGTGTGCCTCTGGGGCTTGTCATATATAGTGTGGTTGTGACGTGGAGGACACGCATTGGTAGTATGGGGCATTTGTTTGAAAGTGTATGTATTATACAATTTTTTATTTATTTTTAGTACATTTCTAGTGCTTTTATAAACTTTAAGTTACAGGCTCGTCAGTTACAGCTTCATCCTTATGTACATTTATTATATGGCCTTTTGTTGTAACTTTATTTGGTAACCATTGTTTGTTTTGTAAATATCAGGATTTTCATCGTCGCCAGTGGAGGAGAAAGCTGCCAAGGCCCCAGGTACTTGGTTTGTATTTGGGGTGGTGCTTGGCAGGCATGTCATGTTGCTTTGATTAACAAATATTATAAAATGTTGCCATGTTATTGTGAAATACTGCCTGTATTCCGAAGTGCAAATAAAGACTGTGTAGACTTCACTGCAAACTTTGTGACCACCTAGTGAAAACCTCAACAAGGGTGGGAAATATCTGTAGTTTTCTTCTGGCTTTACCCCAATTCTAATTTTGGGGTAAACTAACCAAGCTTTCAATCCCGTGAGGTGGAAGTTTGTGGGGGGAAAATGCTGCTTCATATGTTTGTCATGAACACAGTTCAGTTTACTCTAGGTACACATCATCTAACCTTATTTCATACTCCACTAAATCTGGTCCTTTGTGTCTTTCATCACGCCCTGTATTTAAATAACTGCCCCATCCCAGATGTATAGTTTAGTGCTGGGTAGAAGGAGATGGAAGTATTTGCAAGGTGAAGTGTATTTAAACCCCAAAACACAATATGTAATATATTGCAGTTTTCCTTTCTTTAGATTGTGGCTGCATTTTGATAGCCCTTTTATGAAAACCCTTTTATCAAGTACGATAAAATACCTGTTAATAATGCCAGAAATGCAGTGTCCTTGTCACTTCCGGTGAGCTTCACAGATGACAAAACAGTCATCTCCTTGTGTAAACTTCTTCTGTTCTCATCAGTTCTAATGTAATAGAGATGAACAAGGGCATTTGAAGAAATTTAAAGTTTGAAGTCCAGCCTGAGTGGCAGCCATTGCTGCCTCAGTAGATACAGTGGATGAGTAAATGTAGCCACTCGGGAAGACAAACTGTGTTAATGGCAGGATTATCAGTTAGAAATAAAGGGGGAAAGCCTGAAAAAAAGAAAACTAATACGACCACCTCATCTAATACTCTGACACACCAGCAGACACAGAAAAAACACCAGCAAAAGGGTGTTTGCCAGGTGAAACTCTGGGCCCATTCAGACCTGTCTGTGTTTGTAAGTTGCTGTAACGCATGCATGCATGCTGTAGTACGCGTTTAATGTAAGTTGTGTTAAGGCAGCCCATTCAAAATGAATGGGCTGTTAACGTAAAAGAATACACCAAAGAGTGGATCTGCAACATTTACCCCAACACAGTGCACCACAGTGTGTGGTAGTGCATTACCGTTCGCTGTGGGGTCCTTTTTATTGCATATATGTTAGTGGTGTGTTCCCTCAGTGAAGTTTAAAATGAATGGCACCACAATGCTCTAATGCACGTATTGTACGTGATGACAATTCACAACATCGATGAGGTCTGCCCCGCAGTGTTGGCTATTGGGTTAAGAGCTCCAAAGGAAAACATTTTGCATTGAAGGGGGTATTGAGTAAGCAGTGGAATGAAACAAATGCTTTACCCATCATAACTTTGACCGCAAAGGATTTATCAAGGCCACAGCGCTTCAGTCTTTGTACTTGCATGCCTGGAAATCAAACTATGATATAGTTTATTTACGAATTTGCAACTAAGTTGTAATTGAATTTGTACGATGCAAATTGTATTACTGTTAAGGCGCTTGCTATATAATGGGACAGTGTTTCCTATAAACATTGGGGGTGGGGAATGGCCTTCTTTAAAATACGCTAGTAACCTCAAGTGGTCTTATGTAGGACTAGGCCAATGCCGGGAGCCAGGTAGCATATGAGGCCAAAGGAAATTTGTGTTTTTTGTTTTGCTTTTTGTTAGTAGTGGAAATACCCAAAAGTGGTCCCTCTTTCCCAGCCTACACACCTAAGCCAGCTGTCACTTAGCAGCATCTAATCATTTTGTACTTTTTTGTTTTCTGCATGCCAAATGAATTGGGTCATTGTAAATGAGTAGCATGCTACTCTTCTGCTCTGACTGTCTTTGCAACAAGACTGGACAGTTAATATGCAGGTTGTTGAATTCTTTATTATGGAAAGCTAAGTTTCCAATATTCTTATTTCAATTTGCATACTTCAAAGAATGCATGTCACTGTGATTATGTATAACTCTGGGTTTGAATTTACTATTCTCACCACAAGGAAAGAGTTATACCTGAGGACATTGTTTTTAATGTCTCCCTTCTGTAAGCTCAGATGTATCAAGAGGAACACTGAAGACTAAATCCAAAGACGAAGGTATTTTGCATTTTGTGTGTGTTTCTGACAGTTTTTAAGCCTGTTCTTGCATGTGCATAATTTATTACCGGTAGCTAATGTGTGCTGTGTGCAATGAAATCAAGCATTACAAGTGGACCTTGCTTATTTAATATAGCCCCTGTGCTGAAATGCTGCAGTAAGCTTTTGCCCACAGCACCTAGGTAAAGGTGATGTCATCCTCCTCCTAGTGAGATCTGGGGATTGTAGAGTACCCCAAATCTCTCTAAGAGAACGATCCTGCATTATTATGCAGCATCTTCCTGCGAGACGAGGAGTAATCGGAATTCTTTGAGATCCCATCAGCAGGGTGGTAACGTAAGAGTAGGTTAGTTATGTTGTTTCTGTGGAAAATTTAAATTATATGAGTACATGTATACACATTAGGGGAAGCTATATTAGCATTGCCCATGTATGCCCTTTGCTTTAGTAATGCAGATTTGTTTGTACTTTAGCAGCAGTTCAACAAAGCTCCCACATGCCCTTGTCTGATATGCTGTAAATCTTATAGAGCTGTGAGAATCTTCAAATCAATATGGTAAATATTCTCAAATATATAGAATTACAAGCACATTAATGTGCAAGTCATATAAAAAAATGCTTTAGGATTAAAATTAAAGTAACTCACGGTGCTTGGTGACATAGATTGCAGTTCCCTACAACTTGGTAAAATATTTGGCATATTTTTCTCTTTCTGTTTGGCTGTAACTCATTTTTTTTATGACCAATTGTTGATAAATCACTGCCATTTTATCATCCATTACAATATCCACTTTACATCCTGACTGATTTCAAAATGTTTTCAGGACAAGTGTGGAGAGCTGGCATCTCTGGTTATTTAAGGGAGATCTCCTTTACTGAGATGCTTTTGGTTGAACCTCCCATTGTCTGAATCGCAAATCAAAAAGTACAGGTTTTACACTTTATTATGAAGGACTAAATAAAAGCAGGGCTTCCCTTTTAAAGGAGAACTATGAGATGAGTGATTTCCACTCACCTCACAGTTCTAGCCGACCTCTGACAATGACTGTCACAGGTCGGCTCAGTAGATCGGGAGGTGAGCGAACACATACCAGGTTCGCTCACCTCTCGATCCTGTCACGGCTCTCTGACGTGACAGGGGGAGGGGCTGGATTCCCCTCTCCCCGCTCCGATCCTCCAGCGCTGACTGGCGGAACGGACGGGGGAGGGGGCGGGTACAGCTGGCTCTGCCTCTAGATAGGCAGAGCCAGCTGTCACTCACGCAGCTGGGTGGATCCCGTCATCTACGTCGGGATCCGCTCCGGCTGCGGCGTCTCAGTATACCGCGAGCTGTAGCTCGCGGTATACTGAGCTTAGGGTAACTGGAGGACGCTAGTTTGTGTCCTCCCGTTACCCTAAGGAGAACTATGGGGAAAAACACTGACACCATAGTTCTCCTTTTTTACTTTTTTAAACCGCAAATTCTGAATGGAATTTTAGAAAAGGTAAACTGTATTTAGTGGGGTTTTGCAAAAAAGGTTTAAGAGTGATGCAGGGATTATGATAGAAATGGAATTAAAGTTCACATTTATGGCAGGGGTAGACACATTCATGTGGAATTTAGGAGCCACTCTGTCCAATCCAGGAGCGCCAGCAGGACTTTTTTTGGGTGAAATAGCTACACTGAAAACGACTAGGGAAATCCTCAAAAGTCAGACACTGACTGTATTTTTTAAGGACTTTTGGCTACCTGGCTCCTAAGATTTGTCCAGCACTGCATTATGTGCTTTTAGAACCCTCCATAAAATGTTGGTTATTCTTAATGAGGAGCCCATGGAAGGCATTTAAAGTCATTGTGGTGTTCATAAAACCCTTGATAAATGCAACAGTGTGTATATATGCGTGTTTTTATCCAATGGTGTTTGCCCCACAACGTAAGCATCGTACTATAAAATGGCATCATTATTTGACCTTGAGGGTACATTTCTGTTGTGCTTTTTGATTCTTCTGATTCAAATGCACTGCAGAGTAGTAATGTGTGAAATGCAATTGACTGCATGTTTTCCCTGCATGGTATGAGAGAATTACATTTTCAAACCCATGTGGAGAGTAGTATAGATAGTAAAATCAGCAGCTGAGGAAATTTAGATGCAATTGGTGTCAAGTCTTTGCTAATACTAGTTGTATAGTTTTCCTTCAATAAATGTCCCTTTTAGGATTTGGGTAATTATTGATGGAACTATGTGATCTCTATGTGATTTATATGGCAGGGAATGGAAGACCAGCTGCTCGCCTTCCTACAGTGCCTCATGTTTGCAGTGCAAGTAATCCATAGAAAAAGATCTTGTGCTTAATGCTGGTTTCACACATTGACACTAGAGTGATCCAGATAGCGAAGTACAATATTGCATTACCTCTACTGGATGTTTTTCATAGAAATATGCAGAAAACCTAGTTGTACCTTTTTTTTTACACTGGTGGCTCGGCTGAAAAGGCTGAGCTTGCTGTGCCACAGGCTGGGGAAGGGGTACATTTGCCAACTGGTTCTATACTGCAAAAATGGCTTTGTGTAGACTGAACAATACCCCACACAGCTCAGAACAAGGAAAACCTATTTTTGGATGAAATATTCCTCAATGGAGTTCTGCAGGGTATCAAGGTATCTGACTGCCCTGTGTCTTGTCAATGCAACATCTGTTTTCAGCTACCCTTATCTACATAGTGTGACACATTGACTCCACATGGGTTAAAGCATGTTGCATTTGTTCTGAATTATCCAGTCATTGTCTTTGTGTTTTTTTTGTGTTGTATAAGTTAAAGAGGGTATAAGAGAGCAGCTGAAAAGGGTAAAGGAAAAATATCTCACCTCGGTAAAAGAAGCCAGAATAGGAGAAAAAGAAAAATCATCCAAAGTGTCAAAGGACAGGGATCAAAAGCGCAAAGAAACGGAGAAACCCAAAAAGGATTCTGGCAAAGAGAATAAAGACCAAGAAAAGGCTGAACCAAGGAGGAAAAAGGATGACAAGCCCAAAGAGATCACAAAGAGGACAACAAGCGGAAGAATATCCAACGATGACCGGGATAAAAAGACTGATAAAAAGGCAGACAAGAAACAAGACATTGGTCTTTCTGAGAACTAATGCTTTACAAACTAATGCAAAGTCTAACTATCTGTCTAGAAGGTACCTGTGCTCTACTGATACAGATTTAAATGTGCTGGTGGCCTGCGAACATCATAGTCGGCCAGTTTAGCTGCTTAGCCACTATTAATGAGTGCCTTTTGTCAGGCGATCAAGTGCTAGGGATATTACAAGATCTGTTCTCTAGTTATCTGGCTGACCATATAGAAGGTCAGATCTGTCATTGAAAGTTATAGGTAGTGAGTGATTTCCCCTACTGTGTATTGTATGCCACGTGAACCCACCAACAGTTCCTTCCAAGCTTGACTGAAGGCAAAATATGGCTCTTCTGTGGTGAAAAGTTTAACCTAGCTGCACAGAAATGTTATACCATGTAGACAATGATGGGCACCTTAAAAGGTCAGAAGCTCTTTATTGCTTCATAATTAAACTCGTACATAGCCTGATTGTTACAAACCGTTCTGAAATCTGTCACATCATTGGCTTTAATCAGAGCATCACAAGTATTGGTTTTGCTTACAAATAGTTCTCTCAATTGTGTGTAAACCGCAAGCACTTTCTAATTACTAGAGTGACAGGGTTTTATTAGCTGCATAAGTAGTGCTTTGAATTTGTAATTTTGAAGTACTGTTCAGTTTGTATATGTACATAAGTGATAAAGTGCTGTAAGCGTTGTAAATTAGTTTGGGATTTACAGTGTTGCATCAGATACTCTTGTGAGTTCTGCCAGCCATGATTTTTACACCAAACTGATAAGATAGCCAGTGAAATAAACTGTTAATTAATATTTTTCTATAGTGTTTGTTGCATAGTTTTTTTTTCTAGCACTGTATGTTTTGCACTACAATAATAAAGTGAACATAATGTGGCCTAAAGAATGCCAAGGTAACATACGTGTTCTGTATCTTTTAAGTAACCTAGAAACGCAGAAGAGTGATGGCAGAAAAAGACCAAGTGGTCCATAGTCTGCCCCTTCTTTTTATTTTGAAAACTTTTTTTGTTTTGAGTATAGATCTCTGTTTATTTTGAAACTTGTTTAATTTCACTTACTCTCTACCTCTGCTGGAAGTCTGTTCCAATCATCATATACTCTTCAGTAAAGCCCCGGTGTTCACGATCTTGGCTTCATAATGCAAATACTGCCCTCCTGAGCCTTAAAGTGAAGCACCCCAGAATTATCTTTGATTTCCCCACTGCACAGCCACACTGTTTGCAATCCTCTGCTTTTTGATTTTTTTTTGTTGTTCTGTAGCCCTGCCCAACACTGCTCTGTCAGATAATTATTTTTCCCTAAAGTGCATTATTTTGCATTTTAGAAACGTTGAACTGCACTTTCCACTACGTTGACCAGTCTTCCAGTAATGCCAAATCTTGTTCCTGTTGCAAACACTTCTAGGAATATCAATGTTACTGCTTACCATTTTGTCATCCACAAAAAAAGCTTACCTTGTCTACCAAAGTTTCAGTTATATAACTTAAAAACAGATATAATAGAACAGGACCCAGTACAGAGCATTGTGGTACATCACTAGTGACTGGTTCTGAATGAACCCAATTTACACAACACACTGATATCCATCATTAAGCCAGCTGCATATACACAGAACCACCCTTCGGTTAAGTCCTAGCTTGTACAACTTTTTTATGAGATTATATGGAACCCATAATTAAAACCTCTTCCTTCACTGTAATTTTGAGTTACCTTGTCAATCAACAGGTTATCATAATCCCCAGACTATCCTGGGGTCTGTATACTACACCAGTTCTATGGGAATATCCCTCTCTGGGTTTTGGGCTGACCCAGGGGGTTTCAAGTAGTTACTTTTTGTAATGTTAACTTAATGCTATTTTTTTTTTCTACATAAGTGGCAACTTCAGCTCTTCTACTTCCAACTGTCTATCCTGTATAGTGTGTACCCCGGCTAGTTATTCCCCAATAATTTAAACCTCTCTTCCTTCTCAATTATCTGTCCTTGTTTCTCAGTTTAAATGAATTTTCAAAATAACTCTTAAATTCCATATGAAGTAGTTCTTTACTCTTGTGTAAAGGATGCAGACCATCTATTTTTATATAGCTCAATATCAGCCTACCTGCTAGCATCATGACTAACGTAACCAAAACCTCCAGTTTTACTCCATTCTTTTAACCAATCGTAGAACTCTGCAGTACAAAAAAAATTAACCAGTTTTAAACTTTTTTTTAATCCATCCCGTTGTCCCAATCATTCAACTTAGATTCTTGGCCCAGGTGATGCAAGGTCTCTACTCTCCAAGCTGAGAAACTTCACCCTTTTACAAAACAGACATTTGACAGATGAATGACATGGAAGGCTTAACCTGACGAGGCTTGATCTCAATTTGGAGAGATGTCTAGGCCCTCACTTTACATACTAAAGTATTGCAGCATAGTGTAAGGACAGGTTAATTTTGTCCATCACAGTAACGAAAAATATCACTTGCACCACTTACTGTTCATGTCATGGCAGAATTCAAATGATACACTATGAGGTGGATGCATGCAGCTGCTTAGAATTAAAAGAAACCGGTACTGAGAGAATGTGGAGTCTATTGTTGCTGACCTATCCTTCTGAAAATGCTGGTTGCCGAACTGTCATACTGGAGTCCTGAGTCAGTGACCAGGTACAAGTATGGAAATAATAAATTCTCACTTTGTAATCTGCAGACTTGTTCCAGGTCAGGAATTCAAAAATAGTGAGGGTAGAGATGGCCAGCTTTAGAAACAACATCTCTGCATTTGGTTACAGTTTCTGTTAAAGGTTCACGTGGTTTTTTTTTGGTTTTTTTTTGGTTTTTTTTTGGTTTTTTTTTTGGTTTTTTTTCCCCTTGGATGGTGGGCTTTAGGCCTATTGGATAATGTTGAAGAGGGCCTCTACAGAATCACTTGATGTTGCCCTTTGTCCTTTTACCAGGGATCTAAAGCAAATGTAAATATTTAGTATGTGACGTCTAATTTTTTGTGGACTTGGCATAGCTAAAGAGGTGTTTATACGCCACCACCTAAGTTTCGCCACCTTGAGATTTGGCTTCACCTCAGGTCAACATTTTCTTCATACCACCTTGTGCCATGGATGTTTCTCTTCCAAGGTTCTTCTTTGCTGATGGCCACTGCAACTTGACTAGGCTGTTTTTTTTTATGTATCTTTGACTGAGCGATGTTGGCAAAGCTCGGCTTACAACATTATATTAAAGTAATTCTACAGATTGGTTTACAATTGTACATGGAGAAATGTATTAGGGTTTTGGCCTACACTCCCCCTTCCCCAAAGTGTGGCTTGTAGACTCACAGGCTCAAGATATCATGTTCCCAGCTCCACTCCTCAAAGTGTTTTCATACCTCTGTTATAGATATGTAGATCTGAGTGAGGGAGGTTTCAAAGAGTGAATGGCCAGAGACTGCAGCTCTGTCCAAAAGCATTGTTTACTTTGGTGACAAAGAATTTGGGGACATGTGCACCCGCATAAAATATTTTACTCAAATGCAAATGGTCAGTAACGTAAAATATTAGCTGTGTGGGGGATAAATTAGCTAATTGCTTTTGCATTTAACCGATGTTGTATAGATATTTTTGGATTGCAGGTTTTTTTGCAAGTTTGGCGGAATATACGTGCAGGGAAAACCACTTGCCTCTTTGTTACATAAGGCAAGCTAATAAAGGAAATGTCAGATCACCCAAAAAAAAATTTGACTAACCACCAAATTATAATGTAACTGGAAAAGTCCAGCGTTGTGTAGTTACATCCTGTTGAATGAGTACCTAGTATAAATATTTCAACACTTGACTTTTACTAATGGAAAATATTAATTGAAACAGATACTGTTTTGCTTTTAACGCCACTCAAACAAAAGTGACTTTTTTTTTTTCTTTATCCAAAATACACAGTGGATGATCTTCTTCTTCTTCTTCTTCTTCTTCTTCTTCTTCTTCTATTTTTTTTTTTTTTTTTATTAGTAACTCCTTTCTTATACATAACAGTCAAAACCGTTCTTTTTCTTTTTTTTTTTCTTCTTTTTCTTTTTCTTTTTTTTTTTTTTTTTTTAAGAGTAAGTGCTTTCTTATACATAACAGTCAAAACCGAAAAGCAGGAAAAGTTTTGATGACATGAGCAAACCTAATTTTTATTTCAATAAAATATACAGTATATATTGCATTGAAATTCCTTTTTGTATTCTTGAGTTTAATACCATTTATAACTGGGAATGCAGGACTGAAAGATCGAGTGCTGGCAAAACAAGAATCTGAAGATTCTGAGACGGATTCACAAGCAACCTCAGAGTGTAAGTCTAAACTGTATTGTATTTGAGCCTCTATTACATTCACAAACCTACTTGGGATGGAAGGAGGAGTCTATTTATTTAATGTGGTTGATGTGTTTCCTGTTGCAGGCAGGCGGAGCCTATATCTCGATGGCTGTCCTGGAAGATTCCTGGAAACAGAGTTATCAGGTAATCAACTCATGTTTTTCTTCTCTTTTTTTTTTCTTTTTACTTTTTCTTTCACCCCCTCTCCTCACACCTGCAAGGGTTAAAGAGGACCTTTACCCCCCTTTTGGCTAAAACTTACATCAGCATGCATCTCTGCATGTGGATATGAAATCTTACATTCAGTGTAAACATCTAACAGTAAAACATTTGCATTTTACTTAGTTTCTCGTTTTCTACTTCCTGGTTCTGGCGAAAGTGATGTAAATGTGCCCAAGCAATCCTGGGAAGGTTTATAATCAGCAGAGCATTGCTAGGACATCTCATCTGTAATCTCATGAGATCTCAGGGAAAGGGATTTTCCTCTCCTGTGATGTGCATGATCACATGTCCTAGTCACATGTGCCATAGTTCCAGGAAGTAAAGGGAGATCTAGCAACCTGCCCTTAATTAAAATGGTCACTGTCAGAAGACTGGGGAAGTAACAAAAAATAAGGTGTGCAAGGAATACAAAGCCTGCAATTATCTAAAAGTATCTGTATATTGTAATTTATTAAACATTTCTAAAGGTGTCTTTGTTATTTTGAAGATA